TTGGACCTGAGTCTAAAAATATTTAATTCAAAAGCTCGAACATGTTTTTCTTATTATCAATAAATTCAATATATATTAATTATGTATTTTATGAAATATGTAATTTAATTAAGAATGTATAATATATAATCTATTTTCTCAAGATGATTATAATTTAATTATTTATCAAATATATTTATAAATTTTAAATAAAATTAGATAAACATATTACTTCTCATTAATTTCTTTATGGAATTTTCTTAAATCCAAATTTTATATAGTTTAAATTTATTTGAGTTAGAGTTAGAATTTAAGCTCTCTCTAAGCAGTGGAACTTAAAAGAAAAAACTTAAATTAATTTAAAAAAATCAAACTCATATCTTTATCTATTGACTTGGTTCAGGTCATCACCATCTCCATTTACAGAGTTTATCAACTCATTTTTGCCTGTAGAAAAATGAATTTTTATTGTCATTTAAAGTAAACAACTGCTTAAATACCTCTTGCTGGAGAAAAATTGAGATGATAATCAATCAAAATTTATAGTTTTATTCAATTACTAACAAAAAAATTACCACGTCCAACCTATAAAAATTAAATAAATTTTCACCTGCTATCAGAAGAAAAAGGAAAATGGAAGCAGATAAGCAGTAAAAGTAATTAAATAAGTAATCTTGATTGAAGAAATTAATTAACTAATTATTTATAACAAATTATTATTTAGTTGGATGATTGATATATATATATTTAAAAGAAATAGTGTGTTTGAGGTAAATTATATTTTCGTGCACACGAACATATTTAAGATTGTTTCTAATATATTATGATTAATACATGTATATTATTTAAATAATAAGTGTATGAATTTATTCAAAGAATTAATTGTAAATAATATATTTGATGAAAGAAAAGAAATATTTTTGGTTTTCTTTTTAAAAATAATTTCGAAAGATATCATTGTTAATTTTTTTTTTTTTATATTTGATAAAAGTAAAAAATTTAAAACAAATATACTTTATTTGTTATTAGATAACATAATAGTACGTCACCTTCTTTTCCTTGCCAATGTTGAGGACAATGAGTTCGACTAAGCCTTTGGTGTTCATCAAAACGCCAAGTGCTAGAGAATCCCTTGGCGGGATCTTACACAGCAGAGCAGCCATGAAAGTTCCGAAGATCTTCCCTACCGACACCGTGACTATCATCATTACCAGCAGTCCCCAGGCAGCCGCTCCTTGTATTTTTGTCACGTCCGTCTTCAATCCGCTGGAGGCGAAGTAGAGTGGAAGCAGCAAACACGACACCAAGTCTTCAATCCTCTCTCTCACTTTCTCTGCTAAATCTCCATCATCCTTGGGTATGCTTAACCCGAACACAAACCCCCCAAAAATGGCGTGGATCCCTATCAGCTCCGTCATAAAACCCGATAACATTACCCCACCTAAGCTCACCCATATATACGTATTGATATTCGAGCAATGCCGGGCCACCCACTTCATCACCTGTCTCACAACAACTACCATGAACACCAGGAACCCTACTCCCGATATCAGAACCCACACAGATATCAGCTTGCTGCTTTGGTGGGTTTCAGTTGACGTCTCTGCTAGAGCAACTGCAAGGGCCAGTAAGATCCACGCCGCGACGTCGTTGAAGGCCGCGGCCGCCATTGCCGTCTGCCCAACCTGCGTGTTTATGAGTTTGAGCTCTGCCAGGATGCAAGCGAGAACAGGAAAAGCCGTTATGGAGAAAGATATTCCTATGAATATGATGTATTGGCCGTACTCTACTCTGTCCTCGCCATTTATGACCTTACGGAGAAGTAAAGAAAATGCTGCTCCGAAGAGGAATGGGAGAGATATTCCGGCAAGGGCTATGCTGAAAGCTCGTTTTCCACTGCGCCGAATGGTGGCCAAATCGAGCTCAAGACCCACAAGGAAAAGAAAGAAGAGAAGGCCAACATTTGCTACTGATTCAAGTATAGGAGTGCTCCATGATGGGAAAAGCACCTGCATAAACTCCTTGTTTCGACCGAGAGCTGATGGTCCAAGCAAAATCCCACCCTGAAACAAAAACAACCAATGATGAATCAATTAAGCACGTTCACCATCATCCATATTAACAACTGCATGTGTTTACATATCACTCAGTTTCAGTAACGTGAACTTAGTGTTTAGAGCATCTGTAACTTGTTGGGATTGTATGTATATATATTTATATATGCACTAATAATGGGAATATTATATACGCATATGACATACAAGAATCTCGGCGATGACTTTGGGTTGCCTGAGGGGTTTAAGAAGGAGGGAGAGGAAGCGGGTAATGAAAAGGACAAAGGTGGTTTGGAGAATTAACAAAGGGAATGCATAGTTGAGAGGATTATCGCCTTTCCAGGCTCCATCGGATGAGGTTTTGATACTTGTAATGTTGACTGTCATGGCTGTATATAAAACTATATATTCTAACTTGCACGAATGCTTTAGATCACTTTCTGCAAATTTCTAGCCAAGGAAAAGTTTCAACATGGCTGGGATTTTATAGACGATTCAGGAAAGGTGACCCCTCAACCCACCAACTTTCATTTTCTTTTTTTCTTTAAAGGTAGGTTTGAAAATTTGAATACAACCTGTACGAGGTATATATAAAATTAGGGAGTGGTAAATATTTAGGGTTATTATTATTTTGTTTATTTTTAGATAGAATTAGGTAATTTAGTCATAAAATCTACAATGAGAGTTTCAATATAATATATATATATATATATGCATTTCGTACTAATGTGTATTCTTATTTCTCAGTTTATTCCTTATTACAATTAATAATTCAAAAGTCATTATTTTAACCTTATTAAATGCTACATAAGAAGGTCTGCTTTTTCTTTTCTTTTCTTTTCCCTTTAGCTCGAATGGTAAATTGATGTAATGAAAAAATAATAAAGTTAACCTATTTTGTCAAACTACATATAAAAAACACAAACTAAAGAATATTGATAAGTTTGGACGAATGAAAGTCCAACAGTAGAAAAAATGTGTATAAATACTTATGGTAGGAGCAATTTGTTAAAAATAATTTGTAATTGAAAAAATGTAAGTATAATTAAGTTCGGCCACAAGAATTAACTTAAGCATTAAGAAAGAAGGGTAATTGGGTAATGCTGAAGAAGCATGAAGAAGGATCTTCAAAATTTGTGGTGGTGGTGGTGAATATATACGTATACACACATATACACATATGGGTAATTGGGTAATGCTGAAGAAGCATGAAGAAGGATCTTCAAAATTTGTGGTGGTGGTGGTGAATATATACGTATACACACATATACACATATGGGTATATGTATGGTTATTAAATAGACATTTGTGCTATCACAATACGTATGAGTGTTAAGGCCCAAGCAAAGTTTACTCTACCATTGCTAACTATTCAGGCATTTTTCTACCATATAATTTAACCACAAACAATTCCCACATTGGGTATTCCTTAGTTCCTTATAAAAACTAATATCCTTCTATACATAAAAATTAGTTATGACCTCAAGCAATAGTAAGCATATATTCAATTATCTCAAGAAGACTATCTATTTTTATTTGAGAAAATTATAACCTATGGAGCAATATGAAAAAATTATTATTTATTTTCCTATAATATTAGGATGTTGTCAAATAAGATATTAAAGGAAGCAGTCTAAAAGAACAAAGATCACATAAGGTGACAAAGAAAAAACACATAAGAAAGTCGAGATAAATGTATTTCTCATGGAATTTTAGATTACATAGTGATGCAAAACCTATGATTAACCATGTGATCAAAAACTCAAACATCGAATTTAGTAAAAAAACTAAATCCCTAAACAAATTCTTCTAATTAATCCACAATCAACCTGTGATTGCAAAGTAAAGCAATTGGAAAAAGAAAATAATAATTGATAAAATACCACAAGATTACCTTGATAAGTAGAACTAATTCTCCACTCAATAAGAATGTTAAAAAAATCTTCCTAAATAGAAACTTATCCAACAACTAACAGAAATTAAAAAAAAAATTCAATTTTATTGATTTCAAAATTTTATGATTACAAGTATTATAATAACAGTCTATTTAGAGATATAGGCCATAAGAATTACAATACATAACCAACTCTTAAAGATCTCTAAAACTTATTTAGGATTCTTAATAAAATAATAAATGTAAGAATTATGAAACTATAGAAATTATGACTCTTCTCTATTGAATAGTTATTGAATTCTTCAAGGAATTGCCAATTGTAGCTTGCCTTATCTTGATTAGTTTTGGATTCCATTATTCAATGATTTTAGGTGTTTGAATATGTGTTGAAGATGAGATAATTTCCAGCCATGTTGGATGAGAAAAATTACCTATTTTCTTGTGGGAATCCACCATGAGTGAGAAATCATATATTTTTGAGCTTTTACTTGTCAACTATAACTCCAACACCTTTTTTATATGAATATATGGAGAAAAAACTGATTTTAGGACTCTTTATAAGTTAAAGTCAGTTCCTTGAGTGAATTCTTGCAAAAAAATCGTACTTGAATTAGGATTCATGAATTCTAAGTATGACTTGAAGTTGAACTCCAT